AGTATCAGTATAAGTTAGATCAGTTCAAACTCATCGCAGACTACGACTTTAAGGAATTTCACATTACGACTTTTGACCGAATTTGTTATGAAAAATGTTGCTTGTTTCCACAAAGTCATAGTGACTACAAAGACCAGGAAATTCAATAAGAGCAATATTGAAGCACTGTATGAAGCAAAAGAAAGCTTCAATTCCGGTAGACTTTTTATATACTCCTACTTCCTCAAGTTCTTCGAAAACATAGTAAAAAAAAATGCTGTCTGCGAAATGCTAAGTCTGAATCTCTATGACTGATATTTTCAAGGTTAATCTGTACTGACATTACAGCTGAATATTTTGATTCATACGTTTTTTTTTTCACACAAAAGATGCCATTTTACTCACCATCGAGATCTTTGAAGCCATATTCACAGGCTAGGTCGTAATTCATGAGGATTTTCCCAGATTTCTTGATGACTTTTTTATCAGACGCTAGAGCCACGACTGCTTTACCAGTGAACTCAGGAGATTCGCTCTGCTTGAAAGATTTGTCGATAGCCTCCTGAAAATTAGAGCATTCAATGTGCAGGTGACTCCCCCTCAGCTTGAATAGGCAAACAATTTCACTAAAGAAAAACGAAGCCGTAAGCCGATTTAGTATCCGGAAACTTACATTATAAATAATGCAGCATGTATCTTACGCAAGAGATTGCAACATATTCAAGATAGAAATTTGAATGAAGCGATTAGGAGCCAGAGACAGTTTCATACCATTTTCGCAAAAGTTCTGTTTAACAAAACGGCTAGTTGCTTGTTGCACATAATACTGACATAGATGGAACCATGAGAAGAGAACGCACGCATTTTTTTCCAAACCGAAAACTGTTTGTATGGCTTCAGTGAGAGTTAAAGAAGTATTCAAGCTGCATCCCCTATTAAACTCTCACTAATCATTGAGCCTGACAAGCAAAATAGGGAAATTTCGACTATTATTTCATCATATGTGATGATTTTTGATCATGTGAGACAGCGCATCCCAATTCCAGGATGCTCAATAAGAGCAATACCCATCGCGTACACTTCCATAACTAGGGTTTCACTCCCTCACATGTGAAAAAAGGAAGATCTCATGCAAATCTTTTTTTTTTGAAGCATAGCAAATCTTTGTATAAAGTTTGTGCAATCGCGCAATCTTGGGCAATAAAAACCCATGTGAACACCACCTTAAGAACTCTTGGACGAAAACCCTGAGCTTCACACCTTTCCCAAATTCCTCCTGAACCAAACGAGAAGATCAGTGCGTGCTGCAAAATCTCATAGATGAATGCGCTTTCATTTGTGCAGACATATGGTTTAAACACTTTAGAATTGCACTATACTGCCAGCAGTTCCAATTCTGTTTCAGGGTTAGTGGTCAATTCGCCGCGTGGACTACTTTTCGGACGGACTTATGTATGGTAATTGGGATACTTTTGAAGCAATCTGCAACTGCTATCGCATGCTTTGGCGGGTCACAAGGTTGCTAGCACAACGACAATCTGGGGAACCCTCCAATACTGGGGTAGATCTAATCACAACTTTAACGTAGAAGTTCAAGATGGTCCAAGGCAAATTCTAGCCATACAAATGTAATGGAAATGAAGAAGTAAACATTTGAAAACATGGGAATCAGTCAACAAAGGATGACGAATGAGCAAGCTTTTGAAAAAATACCACGAACACACCTTTGATTGTTGCACCATTTTTTCCAACTTGCCCTCATCTCTCAGCACCTCAGTATATTCTGTCCGTACCATACCAGGCCATAAAGAGACCACAGCAACGCCATGTGGATTCAACTCAACTGCCATGTCTGCAGACATTCGGTCCAGCTGTAACTGATTACTGACTAACGATAACAAATGATGTCGCATCCAGTGCGACCTGGGGTTTAATGTGAGCTTGAGTCCCCCAGGAGAAAAAAAAATCAAAAGGTGGAAGGTGACAAGAGTCCGCTTGAGACATGATTTTCAGAACCATGCCCATCGCGGAAACAATTCCAAAAATTGAACTCCACACTCCAATTGGCTTCTCACAGCAGAGCGGGCCCACTTTCTCTTCTTGCATGATGCAACCCGGCGCAAAAACTATTGAACGAAGCGGAGAAAAACTAACCGCGGCTTTACCCACACCATAGGGAACGTTGAATGTATATTGCAAGCCGCCGGCGGATGAAATGTTCACGATTAAGCCAGATCTAAAAACAGAAAACGAATGCTGGTATGGCACTGCCAAAAAATCGCATTTCAGAGAAGTTGAACACAAACGCGAACGTTATGATAAACTAGATCTGGAAGAAAGAGTGACATGCCCAAGGGAGCGGAAAAGGCTTGTACATCGAAGAGCACGCCCATCGCAACCTAGAAAAGTCCAGTCTAGCCGAATGCCATATGCCGTGGCGGGGTCATCCCCAAGTGAAGGACTGGGGACTATGATTGGATGGATGCTAATTCTGTTAACGCAATATTTCGCTCTGCGTTTTGGAAGGTCATCTCAGATTGAGCGGCCGTATCCTTGAGTATTTCCAGGTGATGTGAAAGCATCGATGAAACGCTAAATATTTGTTGGTATGATCCCGGGTGTCGGAAGTAAGACGTCTGGCTCGTTTTGGTCTGGGTCTTCCGAAGTGGGATTCAAAGGGGTTAGGAGAACCCGATGTAGCGGTTTTTGAGCTACTTCTCTTAGACTTCTCTTGACCAGTGCACCCTCTACCAAATCTACTTTCAGCACTTGAGGTAGCGATTTTTCCTTACCATCCGCCTTTAGGTTTGACGATCCCTGAAATTCTGGGCACAAAAGGGCAAAAAACCATTAATTACACCTACAAATACAATTTTAAGAGTCAAATAGGTGGCATTTTACCAACTTGTTGCTTCATGGCACCTCAATCGAAGCCCCTCTACCCCACTTCAACATACGAATTCCTAGGAGTATTCATCGAGAATTCAGTATTCGCTCAAGGGCCACGAATCGAATTTTAATTCGAAAGCCAAAAACGCACTGTTTCTTTACCATCATCCTCGCAGCGTGCACACAGCAAATGTAGTTGTTCCTCAATCCTACATTGTTAACAGAGTCCCAAAGCAAAGGGTCGGCTTCGAAAAATGGGATTGAGCCAGCATCGGCCATGTCCTAAACGTGAAACTTCAAAGATGTCAGAAATAGAGAAACGCAGAATTGAAAGGTTTCAATGAAACCAAAAGCCAAATAAGTTCAAGAAAGAAAATTTGGAAACCTTGGCTCCGGCGTATGCAGCATTCACAAGCACATTGAGAGTTCCATTAGTCTCCTTTTTAATTTGCTCAAACAACTGAGCGATCTCGTTGTGGTCAGTATGGTCGCAGTAGACCGGTATGGCTTTACCACCTCTATGTCGAATATCTAGAGCAATTGAACTTCGTTTAGAAGCTTCCTTCAGCTTCCTTCTAAACTCATGTAAGCACAGATAAATTTTAGTAAAATATACTACGAACCGTGCAACGAGGCCTATCACAGCTCAGCGGAGCAAGGAACTATTTCATTAACCGGATGAAGCACATCGTATCACTTGTTTCATTGACTTCATCGCCAGCACTACGCACATTTCCCCCTCATCTAAGCTTCTAGAAAATGGGGCTCCATTTCTCTTTCTTCCATGCCGTCATTTTATGGGAGAAGCTAATGAGCTCCCTTTTTACCTCCACAAGTGATACTTGAATATGCATGAGCTTAACAATTCGTAATAAAATGTGTATGGCATAACTCGTCACAATGTACTTCATGATGGAAAGCTTATGAATGAGTGCACGCCTACCATCAGCAGTCTGCTGCAATGTCGGCAAATTCCGATACTGACTCTGAAGACTCTTTTCTGGCTTTCTACCAGTGATGTACACTGTCGCTCCAGACTGCCCCAGTTGTAGAGCGATTCCTCTGCCTAAAAACAGATGCGGAGAAGATTTTCATATAAGAACTCAGATACAATGAACTTTTTAGGTTGAGAAATTTTCAAAGCACAGGGAATTTGAAGAAAATCCATGAAACCGAGCAACACACTACTTGAACCATCGATTTGGGCGAAGGGGAGTCTCAGTGAAGGGGGAGGGGATCTGGGGCATTTTCCAGGAAGCTACGATAACTCCGAGCCAGGGGGAGTGTAGGCAGTCTAGGAGGGATGGGGTGAGGCGGCTCACTTGACATATGTGCATGAAAAGCTGGAATGTTCAAGTTTACACTAGTTCGCGGAGAAACTGCATCATGATGTCCTTGATGACAGATAGAACCCCAAAGTGTGGTATTTGCAACATAAAAGGGAGCGAAAAGCGTCTTATTTTAGAGGGCCAACATGATTACCGGAGCGAGGACGACAATATTAGAATCGACAACTGTTTGACACTTTGGTCCACTGGAAAATGCGTGGTTGAAACTCGGGTTACGGGGGGAGACCAGATAGCCGTGGGCGCTGTTCTCGTCTTACTCCTCGAATGACTTGTGCCCATGGGCGAAGAGTACTGGTTCTTTGGTATAAGCACGGACACCATGAGCAGACGGATACGAGGGTATCCGCCGAACCGATGTTTCACGAGACGCGATGAGGCTGCGTGGCAGTAGCCTGCGGTCCGTGCCGACGCGCGTACCGTGCGGAACGGCCTCGGACAGTCTCATATTGTAGAAAAAAACGTCAACACGGACCGCAACACTGCTCCGGCGCACAATGCGCACTTGGCGCGCAGTCGGCGCCTCCCTCGATCGATAATGCTGATTTCGAACACATTTTTTCTGTATTTTGACGTTTTGTGCGCCGTTTTGCTTTTTCTTGCGGTTGCTTAGCCCAAAACTTTTCCTTTTTTGTATGGATTACTGCTTTTGCTCACTAATGGACCCACTTGGTGCTTATTGCCACTTTCAAACACAGTGTATGAACCTAATCATTCCAGACAGTTGAAAAGCAATGATTCACGAAAAAGAAAATATGTTCTCGCCAAAAAAAAACAAGCAAAAGCCAGTCGACGCCTTCCAGTTTATAAATGCGATTTCATCACATTCTATTTGTGTTTTCCTGGTGCTCCTTGTGCCGTGTTGCTTCTCGTATTTTTTCGCGAGAACCTTTTCCTTTTTGTGTGAATCACTGCTTTTCAACTGTCCTAGAAATGGTTAGTTTCATACACTGTGTTTAAAGTAGCAATAAACACCAAGTGGGTTCATTAGTGAGCAAAAGCAGTAATCCATACAAAAAAGGAAAAGTTTTGGGCTAAGCAACCGCAAGAAAAAGCAAAACGGCGCACAAAACGTCAAAATACAGAAAAAATGTTTCGAAATTCAGCATTATCGATCGAGGGAGGCGCGACTGTGCGACAATGTGCGGCATGTGCGCCGGAGCGCGTGTTGACGTTTCTCACCCTGTCCGAGCCGTCCGCACGGACCGCAGACTATGAAAGCAGCCTTATTATAGGGATATGTGAACGGTCCTTTCAGTGGTCCAATGAGTTCTTTCCAAAAATATACAAAATAAGGCGTAAAAAGCTAACCTATTCGTCTATGGCTCGTTCCAGTGCGCGATTTTGACCATCAATACTGAGCCATGCGAGTTCGAGTCCTGCGGAAGTTGAAATGAGACGCAGAAAGGCCCTAACGACAACATGCACACTGAGAGGTAAACCGAATGAGAGACTTCGAAAGCGCGTGGTGTAAAATCTAGATGTCGTCGAACATAGGGTACATTCCGCATCGCACCAGAGACATCTTATTTGACGTTAGGACGGTCACGGTTCCAAGGAGCACCGCGCCAGGGCTGGTGGGATGGTTGCTGCCGGAATTGTGAGCTTAATACTCAGCATATTCCCAATCATAGACTTAATCATAAGCTAATGTGTAAGCATAAACCTAAACCTAAGCCTAAACCCGAGCTTTACCTCAGACTTCAGTGATCGTACAAATCCAGTGACCTGACCCCAGGAGGGGAGCTTAACGTTTCCCCCGCGGGGTAAAACTCCCGTCTCCCCGTCTACTTGCAAATATTCTGAATCCCTCCTTCGCGCCCGCCCATTCTGAGACTCTGGGACTGCTTACACACTTCAACACACTGTCACACTGTCAGCCTACTTTTTCTCTACAAAACACCGCCGAGTGGTGGTGGGGGAGGGGTGAAAGGGAGGTTAAGGGGAGGGGTTTGTATCCTGTACCCCCTCAACTCCAATAAATACGACTTTTTCCGACCTTTTGATTTTGAACATATCCCCTTGCAAAACCGCAGATACGACTCTCCTCGTTGGTGCTTGTACCAACGGACGGTTGACCCTGTTCCAGCATTAGGGCTTGTGGGGCAACAATTCGCCTCTCCTACAGTAGTCCCCATTTTTGCAGAGGGGGGAAGCCCCAGCGTAGGTCAAGAGGCGAAACAGCACCAGCACCGATTCTCCTCCTTGCAGGCCGCAGGAACTTCTTCAGTGGAACAGACCCACTGTGGATCTGTGGTTAGGCCGCGGTTATACTTTGCGTGGTGCGCTTCGAGTGTGGAGTGGATACGTATCGACCACGCATTTTTATACGATAGCATGATCACTTCATATATCACTCTAGTCCACACTCAAACGGCAACCGAGATGCAAAGCATTCGCAAAGTATGACCGTAGCCTTGAAGGAATATTCCACGACGTGGTCGAAGGTCGATGAAGGGGAATGCCTAGTGGAAAGGCAGGCGGGGTCTCTTAAAGGCACGCTCCGCGATCAGGCGGGCTCGCCTGTTCCATCCAGGGGGTAGTAGGCAGGTGGACAAGTGTTGATGTCGGGCCCCTTTTGCGGCTTGAAAGTGCGCGACAAAGGCGCAAGGAGCTCGTCCAACCCGCAACTCACACCTTCGTCCGCAAGCCCCACCCTCCGCTGTCGGTTGCCACGTGGCGCTGCTTGAAAAGCGCGGGCGCAGGTCCCAGCGCGATCCAATGTCATTGGCACTGGAGCAAGTAGAGTTAGGTTCGTGAAACTCGTCCAATTCGCCTCTTCTCTATCCCAAGGTGGAATGTGGCTGAAATAGGGGAGGTCTCTGTACGGGGCGTAATCGGTGGTTTCGTTTGCTTTCCTTCTCTTTTACAGACCACCTCCCACCTATAGCTTCATAACTGAACGCTTTTCCACACCTATTTTATCCGAA